GCTCAGACAGACAGGAACTAATATAAGGTGGATAATTAGTGGCAGACAGGTGATTAGTCCGGGCTAAACCAACAAAAGGGGAAGAAACCACAATAAACAGTCCACAGGGGCATTACAAATGGTAAGTAAAAAAATAAAATAAAAAATAAAAAAAAACATTTTAGGAAAATCAACCACAATTTATGAAGTTAGCTTATGTGATGTTCTCTCAAATATTTCAGTTGTATTGAGAATTCAACATTCAAGATGACTTTGGGAAATGAGTGAATGCAACTAGTGAAAGATAACTACATTAAATCTAAGTATGGTAAACTATTGGATTTTAAAGTGCTGCAGAAAAAAATGAAAAAAATAATTTGTAATGGTTTTACTGGTTATAATGGGAATTGTACTGGTTTTAATGGGAACTGTGGGTCTCTACTGGTAATTGGTCACCTTCTATCGGTGGCCTGTTAAAACCACTAAATCCTAATGAAACGTGTCCCAAAACACACTAGGAAACCATTTTTAATGGTTAAAAGTTGATGGTTTGTAATCGTATTTGTAGTGAAAAGCATTAGAATTTCTGGGATGGTTTATAGGTTATTGTTGTTGTTGTTTTCAGCAGGGTTATATAAATGGCATATGCAATATGCAATCATTTTATTTTTCTGAAATAATTTGTATTCTTCATATTACTTGTGTGACTGGGTATTTAAGAATTTAATTGAATAAGTATGAATAAAACTTACTCGTAAAGTAATGCTGCCTTCACAAGCTATCGGAAATCTCATATAACACCAAAAGTGGTTCATGCCATGTTTTATGTTTTCCGCAGTTTCTTTTTTTTCTTTTTAAATTGATGCGACCCAACCAAGTCAAGCCACGACAATCAACTACAGATATAGCTGGTGGTTTATTACATTTTCTTTGCAGGTATAAACATAAGCAGCACTCGTCAGTTCCCTTTCAGTCGGTCACTCCGAGTCATGTCGGTGACCGACGAATTGGGATATCGCTTCGATAGACCAATCTACTTCGAGTGTAAACTAAACGAGCCAATGCACATTGGCATGCAATTATTGCATCCAGCTGCCGCTGATCACAGCGTGAGTATAATAAGGCAGCAGGTGCAATGCATACCAGCTTTTCGCTTCGGAGCCGAGCGACAACATCGTTCTGCTCTATGTTTATTTTGAGAACTACGAGTTCAGCACGCTCTCGGAAGCTTTCTGTGTTGGCGGGACGGCGCTTCAGCGGTGGTCGTTCCAGTGTCGAGTGGGTTGCGCACTTCAGGCTGCACTACCCCCTGTCGTGTTGCAAAGCGGCCATCTCCCCTGTGCGCCTCCGCCCTAACAGAGCATTTCCTAAAGAGCAAATTTCTCTAAAAGAGCTACACGGGTGCGTCTTTATAAAGACGACGGATCGTCCTTATAAGGATGCCGTTTCACCCGTGCGTTTCTGGGTGCGGTCGTTACCTGGCACCGGGTGATGGTCACGATCGCTGCCTCACGTGTCTGGGCATTAAGCACGCTGAGGTGGCCTTCGTGGATGAGTCATGTTCTCATTGCGGGAAGATGACCATCTCGGAGCTGCGAACCAGGCTCCGCTACTCGCAAGGGGGCGGAGTCCCACTGCCGCGATCTGGGGGTCGTTCTGGCGGAAGGCAGACGAGAACCACTTCCAGCAGTAGCGCGGGCGGTTTGAGGGTTACAGTGATGGCAAACCCCGCAGGGAACCAACCCTCTGGGGACCATCACTCCTCTTGCTCCTCCGATCCAGTGGAGCGACCCACGGAACGCGCTGGGCCCTCTTTAAAGAGCGTACCAGCGGTATCCAGTGGACCTCCCCCCGACCAGATGTCGATCTCAGCATCGGAGGGAGAGCTGTCCGATGAAGATTCGGCCGCGCTGCCGCCCTCCGGGACGGTGGCAAAGCCTGAATCGGATCCGGAGATGACAGCTATGCTTTCCCGGGCCGCCGAAAGGGTCAATGGCCTCAAGGCTGGATGATTGGTTTCTCGGGGTGGCTCGCGCTGGTTCTCAGCGCCCCGCCCCGGTGCCTTTCTACCCGGAAGTGCATGACGAGCTCACCAGGTCGTGGACAGCATCTTTTACTGCCAGAAACCAGCCGGCGGGCTCCTCCTCCCTCACCACCCTCGACAGCAGTGCAGCGAAGGGGTATTTGGCGATCCCCCCCAGTGGAGCGGGCGGTAGCGATGCAATTGTGTCCTAAGTCCGCCTCCTCCTGGCGGGGAGACCCAGTACGTCCTTCCCG